GGCAAAATCGCGTAGAGCGCGTGTTTGCCTATGCAAGTCGAACACTATCATCTTCAGAGAAAAACTACTCTGCAACAGAAAAAGAATGCTTAGCCGTTGTTTGGGCTATAACAAAGTTTCGCCCTTATTTATACGGTCGACCATTCAGGGTAGTTGGCGACCACCATTCTTTATGCAGGCTCGCCAACCTCAAAGACCCTTCCGGTCGTCTAGCACGCTGGAGCCTTCGGCTGCAAGAATTTGACGTTGCAGTCATTCACAAGTCAGGACGCAAACACACTGATGCTGACTGTCTCTCACGTGCACCAATTGGAAGTACGAACGCGGACGTGGAAGAGGACGATACATTTCTTTCCTCTGTATCAACAACCGACTTGGCTCAACAACAACGCGACGACATGAAGCTAAGCCCGCTGATTGACTACCTCGAAGGCTGAAAACGCAGCCTTCCTCGAAACTTCGCACGTTCGCTAGCCTCGTTCTGCTTCACGGATGGAGTCCTCTATAAAAAAAAATTTCGATCATACCCAGGCTACTTACCTTCTGGTTGCGCCGACCTCGCTTCGGGACGATATTTTACATGCTTGTCACGACGAACCATCATCCGGACACCTTGGCTACACGCGCACATTGAAAAGAAATCGCCGCTCATACTACTGGCCCCGCTTCGCGAAGACAGTCAAGCAGTACGTCCGCACATGCCGCGACTGCCAACGCCGTATGACTCCACCTGTCCGACCAGCAGGACTACTACAGCCTATCGCCACGCCGAAGACACCATTTCATCAAATTGGCACTGACTTGCTCGGCTCATTTCGCACCTCTTCATCTGGAAACCAGTGAATTGTGGTAGTCACCAATTATTCAACGCGTTACAGGAAAACAAAGGCCCTGCCCAAAGCTACCGCAGCCGAAATCGCACAGTTTTTTGTCGCCAGCATCGTACTTCGTCAGGGAGCGCCAACTGTGATAATCACTGATCGTGGTACAGCTTTCACCGCAGAGATGCTTCAAGAAGTGCTGAGACTAAGTGGTACAGAACATCGGAAAACCACGGGTTATCACTCCCAAACAAATGGACTCACTGAACGGTTGAACAACACCATTGCATATATGCCGTCAATGTACGTGGCCGTTGATCACAAGAACTGAGATGATATACTCCCTTGCGTAATTTTTGCTTACAATACAGCAGTCCAAGAGAGTACAGGTTTCACCCCATTTCGCTTAGTTCATGGTCCAGAGGTCACTACAATGCTCGACGCAATGCTCCTTCCCAACAACTTAAGCATGTTCAACGCGAACGCCGCATTGTTCGCTCAACGCACCGAGGAGGCCCGTCAACTCGCCCGATGCCGCATTCAGGCTCGCCAAACTGCCGACGCACACCACTACAACCTTACACACCGAGAGGTTACCTTCCAACCAGACGATGAAGTTTGGGTGTGGACTTCCATCCGACAGCGTGGTCACTCTGAGAAGTTGCTTCGGCGCTACTTCGGCCCTTACAAAGTTCTGCGCCGACTCAGTGACGTTACGTATGAAGTTCTCACCTCAAGACGTTCCCGTCGGTTTCCACAAAGTGATGTGGTGCACGTGTCAAGACTCAAGCCATATTTCTCGCGTCATCCATCGAACGTGGACTAACTTACCATGCATTGACTATTTTTTGTCACTTTGGTTTCTTTTTGATTGTCTTGTGTACTAACTCCTTTCTTTATTGAGTACTTCTATGACACCAGGCCATTTTTTTTCCTTACCACGGAGTTGTTGGGTTCCATGGTAGCATCTTTTCTTTCTCATTTTTTTCTTAACGCTAATTACCAGCATCGAGCCGATGCTTTTCGAGGAGAGGGAGTAATATCACAGGTAATAGTTATGAGCCATCAACTGTAGGTGGAATCCCTTGGAAGTGAAAAAGAAGAGGGCTTTTGCGTCCTGGTCTGAGGGCAAGCAAGACGTCGATTCCTCGCTGTCTGTTATTACGTTCGCGGCAATATGAAATTGGTCCTGCCACCCCGTTGCCTTCATGTGCCCAACAGGCTACCGATATTGTACATGTTACGCACTTGAAGCCCTACAACTCTCCTAGTGACGTTGACATCTAAATGCGCCAAGACGGCGCTTGCGCTGCCGGAGGTTATGCTACATGCATGTATATTCATATTCTAGGGGGTGACGCGCGTGTGTGCCTGACGAGGAAGACGGAGAGTTGTCTCCGCTCGATCGCTGGTGAACCGGGCACGCCATTACCGCTGGTTTTAAATATATCTAATACCCAGCCTCGTCGTTACGGCGTCTCTTCTTTTCCGTAACAATATTATGTATGTGTATTTTTTGCTAGAAAAAGCATACATAAGTTATTATAAGGACCGTAGTGTTTCTCACGTGGCGCTGACCAGGCAACGCTCGCACAAAAAGGCAAGCGTTTCCATCGCTTTGCTAAGACGACACGGCGGTGGCACCTACCCTTCGCGTTGCGTTCTACACCTTATAGGGCGCGCGCGCTTTGTTTTCCAAAATAACTGCCAGATAGCGCTCATCTCTTACGTGTTACGTGACTTGATGCACCCGTTTGCCTCCGCTGCACGCTCGAGGCACTCTAACGCAGCGCCTCCGGATTACCATTCATCGATTTTCTTGCGCAGAACATCAAACGTTTTGTTCACTCTCTCCATGCGCAAGACTACAGTCTTTCGATTATATTTGCACTGTAACATGCAGATAAGGGGCCAAATTTTTTTTTATTTTGAAAGTTTTCTTGGCTTCGTTACGCAAGTTTAAACAACTGGTTATCCAGAACAAATGGGGCTAAACATATCGTCGTGCGGACAACATTTGTACATATCTTTAGTCCCACTTCATAACGTTTCGATTAATGAAAAAAATATAATCCATTCACATTACCTCTACGTACATAAGGTCTGCCAAATTTTAAAAATTACGAACGCCTTCGCTGTGACATAGACATTTATGATAGTCCTGGTTGAAACGGTAGCTGCTATTTTATATATAGCTGCGTGTTAGTGTTAATGCCGAAATCTTGAAAACATTTTTTCATGATGGGTAATCATACTGAAACGCACCACGTTGTGTAACTGTTCTTTACATGTTTGCAATAGCGCATTATCTCCCATGTACATAATTTTTGGCGCGTAGTAAACACTGAGGTTAAATTCAAAATATTTTGGAAGTTACACAGAAGAATTCATGGCCGGTACAAACACAGCAGTGTGTCTACTAATGTTATAAAACTTGTACAAATATAAAAGACGTTCGAATAAGTGACTCCCCAACAGAACTAATGCAGATGAATAAAATCCCTACTTTGGAATCTCGACGCAAAATGAATAGGCTAAAATTTCTTTTCCAATTATTACACGGGAATATCAGACTCGAAACATCGGCCTTCCTGACTCCGTTATCATCGCGTCCCACCAGGAATTACCATTCTGCAAAGTTCTCGCCTATCACAGCGCGCACTAACAATTTTAAGTATTCTTTTTTTCCGCGCACTATAACCGACTGGAATAACCTCCCGCATGAAATTCTTTCATCTGACAATATGCTGAAATCTATTGATCAAATGTTTGACTTGTAAAATTTTGTATTAATATTTTACAGTGTTTTCAAAATATTTTGTATTGTCTTGTTTATTGTTTTTACCTCGCTAAAGATTGTATAATTGTTCTAACGGCTCTGTAACACCCCCACTCCTGCTTGGGCCCATTTGTGGTTTGCTGTATTGTATAAATAAATAAATAAATAAGTATCGTAGTGTCACTGCCATGTGTCATACGGTAACGTTAAAATGTTTTTGGGGCGAAAATCCTCTCAGTCTAACCTTGTGCTGCGTGTGACATAACAGAGAGAAGAACAGGCCAGAAAAAAAAAGGTAGTCAGTATGTCTCGAACAATTTAATAAATGGCGCGCTGTCTCATACAGGTACGTAAAAACTGCAGTTCAGTTAGGATATTCTAGATGGCGATGTGCCGTTACTCTGCGATTGGCTGCTGCTCGTGTTGTGCCTGGGTGCGCGAGAAAGGAGTGTCTCACGCATCTTCCTGGATATTCGCCGTATATACGTGGCGGATCGTCGGTGGGACATGGCCAAAGCAGAGCTGAGGGTGCGTTGAAGACGCTTCCGCTCGGCTTTCTTGGCTCCCGTCTCATCGGTGTTACACGCGCGCCATCTGCATTCTCGTACGTGATCTGACGCATGAACATATGCACGAACGGATGTACACCTGGACCGATGGATGGACGAACGCTTCGCCCCACTTATCATCATTCGCTTCATGTATATGCTGCAATTTTTCATCAGGACTGCTTTTCGATGTAACCTGTTCTTTTCCTCAAGTATTAATAAAGACCCAGCTTGCTTGGTTTATTTATTAGGGCCCATTAAGTAATTTTGTAAATTGTTTCTGTTGTGTGATAAATGAAAGGAACTATACATTACGACTTTCTTAACATTACCTCACTCTACAATGCTCCGCTACAATGTCTTCTCAAGCATAAATACTATTGTTGCTGGGCTTGTTGCAAATGTCTTTTAGCGCAAGGTTTAGCCGGAAAACTACAACTGATAAAATTATGACAAATGAATTGAATTAATCGTGGTTACAACAACGTTTTCTATATATAATTCAGTAATAATATCTTCGTAACGTCCGCACTTGAAACCCTGCCCTTAGGGCAAGTGACACGTTACCGCAAACCCTCACTCACAATGCGGGTCTTCTGTATTCTAAAGATGCAATTAATGCGACTACTTATCACTGGCGTTTCATTTGCCAGCGTTCTCATTTTGTCAGTGAATTGATTTCTACGCGTCGGATTGATTCCTCGCAACTCGGAGGCGCTTATAATTTAGAGCTTGACTATGCGAATTCTTTAAGCGTGGTTTGGCTAGTGGCAATACTCTTGGTGGGCTGCAGTGTGCTCGCATGCCTCGGTGAGCTTGGTCTTGCTCTGCTGACGCGATGGGCATTCGCTGTCAGTCTGATGCACCGGCCCCATGCGCCTCTCTCTCGTGCTTCTTCAAAGCGCTGCTCCGTGCGTACTTTCGACCACACACACCACACGCGTGGTTCTTTTCGCCCGCATGGGTAACTAGATGCTCTTTCAGGTGGTACCTCCGCGCGAATGTCTTTCCACATTCGGGACACCGGTGGTAGCATTCAGTGGGGTCCAAGTGCTTGAGCTTGTGGTCCGACAGTGCGGACGAGCTGCGGAAGCGTTGACCACAGACAGCGCACTCGTATGGTGTCTCCAAGGTGTGCGTGTTGAGGTGCGCATACAGCAGGTCCGAACGGCCGAATCCCCTCAGGCAGACCTGGCACACGTATGGCTTGTCGCCGGTGTGCGACCTTTCGTGCCTGGTGACCTTCGTCCTGTAATGATAAATGCGGTGCGTTTATTCGTATTGCACCTCATATCCGCTTTCCCGAATTCTTCACGCAGAGTTTGGAGACATCCAGAATGGAGGAGGAAGGAGGAAACGAGTTGCAAGCAGGGTGACAACGAACGCAGATCAAAGGCAGAGATCACTGGAATGCAAGCGCTGCCTTCAACTCCTATGTTGCTCCTCTTTATCTGTTGTTATTTTCGCACTGCTTTCAAGTTTCGGAAGGCGTTGCTTTTTTTCGTTTCTGGTTTGTTCTACTCATACACTTTATAACTAAGGGACTGTTTCTGTTCACAACAACGCATAGAACTGTTTATATTCTCAAGCAAGTTCTTTAGCAATAGCCAAACACTTGGAAGAATTATCATTATACACATTATTATAATTTGTGCAACACTGAAGCCTTTCCGAAGAATATCAATGGACTGCTACTGTAACAGCAATGACTGCAGCCTACCTGGGCCTCTTTAAAAGTCTTTAGGCACTGCCTCATGCTTAGCACTCTGCTGCCGCCTTTTGTGGTATTCATTTTATTATTGCATTAGACCAGCAGTTGTGAACTCTGAGTCACACCAGATTTCCTTATCTCGCAACATGCTTTTTAGGTCAAGCAGGAAATCAAGTTGTTAGATTAAGCTATATCGATACATTACAAATTAGTTATTGAAGGATCCCAGTTTAGTTCCATCGTCATCTGCAAGCTGCCGAAAGCACTCCTTCATGTTCCAGCTTCTTAAATTAGTGAAGCTAGAAAGAAGCATGTGAGCATTTTGAAGATTGTGAGTGAATGATAAACAACCACATTTATTTCAGATGCATGAGTGAATGATAAACAACCACATTTATTTCAGATGCACGACGAACATTTTCGTACGTCCCGAAGCTTCCTAACGAAACCATTGTTACCCTTGCTAAGATTCCTGTCCGACATGGCAACTTGAGTGCACTTTGAAGGAGCGTACTTACGCCCACAAAGTGGCATTTTTGGCGGTGTGCTGCAACCCCAAAAAAGTGGAGGGTATTTTGGAAATGACGGCAGTGACAATTGGCGGACTTTAGCGCAACATATACTTGTTATTTTTGCGCCCGTGTCTCATCGTCGCACCACGTTGTCTTCGTAGAAGTAGCACCTGTAGCACATCAGCGCTAGTGTTTTGCAAGTGTACAATTGTTTTCTACTTCTCCAAAGCTCACAATTAGAATAATGACTGATGCTATGCGAAATAATCTTATGACCTTTCTATCTGATTTAGTGATGAAGCATCAGGAGAAGCTGTGATAATAATCAGAGTATTTCTTTTCCAACTTTTGAATATGCATTTTCTTCCATTATTGATCAATGGGCATGTGACTGCAACATTTGCTCGCTGTGTATAGTGTCTTTTCCTGGATGTGTAAGGAGAACTTTTATATAGGCTGTTTCATGTAATTCCAATTGAAGATGTGCTACGTTATCAGCGGAGGCCAACAATGTCTTGCTCATCTTCATCCTTCCGCGTGTTCGAACGCATATTATTGTGATAAGAATCTACATGCATCTAATATGCCAGTCCTGAGCTGACATATATTTGACCATAAATGGCTTTTGAACGCTTATCATGTATATATGCTTGAAAACAACGTATTCCATGTTTTAAAAACGTTTTAATTCAAGTGGTACCTATTTTTACCTATACAAAGAGGGCCTTTCACCTAAAACAATTGCTATACTGTGTTGAGTTCCTCCAGTGCACTAGCATTTTACTTACTAACTTATTAACTAACTAACTAGCTAACCGACGACAGCTTACTAAATGCACTTTTTTATTGTTGTGTCGACACGAAGATGTATGGTGACATGTAAACAAAGCAAAAAAAATGGTGTACAGTGGTGGTCCATCAGAAGTATGCGAAATGGGAAAAGACTACTGGACACAAAAGTATAGCTAGAGCAAGGCCAAAGTTAAAGGATGAAACAGGCTTGAATAAGTAGAGAGCAGGAAACACTCAATGCAAAGACACAATAACTGGTACAGTCAAGAGAGGCACTCACCACACATACTTGTGTACTAAACAATTCCTATAAATCCTACGCATTGCGGGAATCGATTTGATTAGAAGATTTTCCAGATTTCAGATTTTTTATTTATACGAATAGAAGAATGTTACATGTGTTTCGTAAACAAAAGGAGGTCTCAAAGTAAAGCAGTCCAAGAAGCTTACAGTTCCGCATCTTCGGCCTCTAAACCCTGCATTACAAGTAAGAAAGACGTCTTCGAGCAAAAATTGTTCTTTGGTGATCGTAAGCTCCCATGGAACATCGAGTACATTGCTGTATAAATGGCAGCTTCTTCCCCAACTCAACGTCGGCCCCCAAGAATAAGCGTGGGCACCTGTTTTATCGAAATAAAGCCCATTCTACGCTGTGTGCTCACCCACATCTTAAGCTGCGTTCGTTGAAGGTTATTTGTGAGGACAAGCAATGTTTTGATAAAGCTTGTCGGCTCGTAAAAGCAAACATGTAATGTTTATTAGTTTGTCACAGCACCTCAATCGTTGATGCCTCAAGTGAACTTTTCATGCTTACTAACGTCATCACAGGCAAGGAATGAATAACTTCTGCTTAGAACTCGTCTACTAGCTTGAACATAAAAATAATAGCTGTTACTCCTACGACTTCCAAAACGTGCGTATGTCAGATTCATTAGGCATTAGTTGACACATAACCGCCTCGGTGGAACAGTGGATACGATACTCAGCTGCTGACCTGAAGGTCACGGGACCAATTCTGGTCACGGTGGTCGAATTTCGATGGAGACTAACTGGTAGAGGCCCTTGTACTGTGTGATGCCAGTGCACATTAAATAACACTAGATGGCCCAAATTCCCGAAGTCCTCCACTACCACGTCTCTCGTATTCATCTCGTGATTTTCGGACGTGAAGCTCCAGACATTACGTCACATTGTCCTACACTGCGCAATCTTGTGCAAACCACAAGGAGGACACAACAGCAAAGTACATCAGTCTACTTAGTAGGATGAGGATAGCGGCATGACGTTAGGATTGTGATGACACCTGAGCCAGATGCATTAACACGACGACGTGCGCTGCTATGAATACAAGAATAAAAATGGCACTACCTCGTTTTGCACTTTATTCAGATGTGTCGCTAGACAGAAGACTGTTTACTGAACTGGCAAAACTAACCTGCACCGCTGGGGATTATTGAGAGCAGTAGTATGCGTCAGTTATGACTCAGGAAAGGGTAAAATGATTCTTCGTTAAAAAACAGAAGCCCTTACACTACCGGCGAAATGGAAGCAATCGTGGCTGGAGTGAATGCGTCTTTAATAATAATAATAATAATAATAATAATAATAATAATAATAATAATAATAATAATAATAATAATAATAATAATAATAATAATAATAATAATAATAATAATAATAATTATAATAATAATAATAATAATAATAATAATAATAATAATAATAATAATAATAATAATAATAATAATAATTTATGTTAATATAACACTATTATTATTCTCTATTACTTTTACTTCCCAACGTAACGATATAATTATGAGAGAAGCCATAGTAGAGGGCTCCGGCAATTTTGACAATCTGGTGTTATTTTGTTTGCGCTGACATCGCACACAACACGTGCCTCTACCACTTTGTCTCCACCGAAATGCGACCGCATTGGTCAAGGTCGAACCCGTGACCTTCGGGTGAGCAGCCGAGTACCATATCCACTGTTCCACCATGACGAACCAAATAGGCCTTCGCCTCTCTCCTAAGGTATCCTTCGCCTCAGCGGACCCTTTCTACGCACCAGCTGCGAAAAAGGAAGAACACCTAAACGAAGTGTTACAGCCAGCGCGGAGATCATCAATCTCTTCCTTTCCTTTGGAGCGGAAATCCTTTCCAGATCTGCACAGCGATAAACTGGGTGGCATCAGATAGATCTCAGACTCCTTGAAACTAGCTCCATCCCGTCGCCGGCCAGTACAGTCCTGTATACGAACATTTGTCCCAACTGCCCAACTGCTCCCTCATTTCATATGGCGGTGCTCCCACTTGCACGTCTCAACAAGGAAGCATTACTTCAACGAGACAGACTTCTCAGAGTTTATCGAAAGTCCACACCTTGCGCACCAACTCGGGGTGGTCCAGGAACCCTGTGAAGTGACCGGGAAGCTTTGGTCCCCAACACGTCGCGGATGCTGGCCACGGTGTGTTCTCAGGACACACCGAGGACCCGAATAAAGTTCTTCACAGGACTCAAGTAAAGTTCATCTGTCTGTTTGTATAGCTTTGAAGCTTTCAGCACTCCGTGTGAGGCTGAATTCCATGCCTGCCGTCCATGTGTTCCCTTCCTCATTTTTGTTCAACCCATGGCGCAAGTATAGGGCACATACGTACTAAGGCTTTTCTTTCTTTTTGCGAAGACACATAACCCTGACGATGACACAAGTAAGGCAATACAATCTTCCCTTAAAACCAGTTCAAACCTAACCTGTCCTTGCCGATGTATGGACAGTAGGAGCACTGCAACCTTTTCTTCCCCCGAGGCGTTTCTGGGTGCTTGTACTGGCGTTCGGCATTCGCCTTCGAGGAGAAGAAACCCTCGCAATGATCGCTGCTCACGAATGGCCTACTCCTGGATTCATCCGTTGCTGAAAAATAGGAAAAGTGAGGCTGTTTTCTGCAATTATATTGGTGGCGACTCGTCTTAATCTTGCACTAAAAGCAGAGGAGAGCCGCGCGGTAGAACCTCCCCTCGACTTCCTCTGTATGGCATGAAACTTTGGAGCACTCGACTTGTTCACTCCACAAATTGCTCTCTCACTTCAAGGGTCAAGAAATGACCCTTTTAACAATTTATGTATAAATAAAAAAACAGAGCATTAAAACAATGATGTTTATGGCACATTGGTACTAAGTACTGTACATTTCGAAGGGGAAGCCGAATTATGAGTGAAACTGCTATTTTCGACAAATGTTTAGTTTTGTAACAACCCACCTGCTTTATTTGTTCTTACAGTGTTGCACTGCTCAGTGAATTCACATGTAAGCTCCATAATATAACTAAATTAGTCATGTGAAAATAAGCACTTGTTATCATAATAAACATTGAAAATATGTCATTTTGCGACATTGGTCAAAGTACGAGACAAGAATAATAAGCTGTCAACCGAATGAAAAACGTCGTCTTGAGGCTAAGTAAAAAAACATTTAAGAAATGAAAGCGATAATTTTAAACCTATTTTGCATAACACATTTTCATCCTTCAAGGAACACTAACTAAAAATTTTAAGCTCGATATGTGGCCTTCCCTTGGTAGCTTCCAATGCATGACTTTTTTCTTTGAGCGATGCTTCAATCGCGTCCGTAACGAGGAAGTACGGCCAGCGTACGAAGGCTCAAAGAGCCGTTCAGCACCCTGTGACATCGACAGTGCTGTGACGCGTTGAACGAGCCCATGACAACAGCCATGTTGTCTTAGTGGTGATGAGCTTGCAACGATAACGTCGACGATCTCGGTGTTCTCATCGTGGTGCAGACCGGTGTCAACACCTGGCAACGACTTCACTATCATGGTCGAACTTGGTTCGTCTCAGTACCTCGTCTTCGACATTATCGCGTGCCCATGTCATTCGTTCAGGCACAAAAGTTGCGTAAGCTATCGCACGCAATGGTTTATTCTCGATATAAGTACCAGAGAACGAACTCCGTGGATGCGCGTGATAACGTAGCCACGAGCGATACGTAGCAAGTGGGATGCAAACTGAATGCATTCGACCCGCCGGTCAGGCAGACTGGAAACAGAAGTTTACTAGTGAAACCGACGCGCGCTACAACTATCTCGAACTGCAGCAAGCGTATCATTTTCAACGCTCGGTGGCATTGACCTCAGTCTAAGCGAGCCGAGGACACGCGTTGGAGCGTTGAAGTTAAAGGTGCTGACAGCTGTTGATTGATTTGTGGGGTTTAACGTTCCAAAACCACCATTTGATTATGAGAGACGCCGTAGTGGAGGGCTCCGAAAATTTTGACCACCTGGGATTCTTTAACGTGCACCCAAATCTGAGTACACGGGCCTACAACATTTCCGCCTAGATCGGAAATGCAGCCGCCACAGCCGGGATCCGAACCATGCTGACAGCTGTACATCTGTTTCAATTACCGCAAGAAGCAATGTATGAGCCGCCCACAGCTCTCAAGTTCGTTCATAAGAGCTTTGAAGCAGAACTATCTATTCAATTTACATTTCCGGCGCACATGCCTCAGCGGTGCTGCATTCAATTGGCCTTAAGCGGCGAGAGGCTGGGCTGTTGTGACGTTGATGGGGACGTTGGGAAATCGCGCAAGCACGGACACCTATATCCTCAAAACACCGAAGATGCGCGGAGCGTCAGTGTGAAATAAAACTGCCGGAAGTCCACTAAAAACAATTATACGCGTACTTTTTTTTCTAGCAAAAGAAGTTGACGTGCGAGAAATGTTTGGTTTCACCAATACGCTGAGTCATGTCGCTGTTGGTTGTCGCAGCGGTAATACCTTCACGACTTTCATAGCCAAATTAAAATGTAATATATTAGTCGTTTTCATTGGACAAAAGTGTGCTCATGACCACTGATGAGAGAAGCCACTGTCGCATTCTGGCCGCAATTGAAACACATTTTTTTCGAGTGGTCGATTTTCTCTTTAACTATCTAATTAGTGTTGGTTATCATATTTCCTACGATGTATTGCAGTGCACACATCTGTCCTTTTTTTTTCATTCGTGTACTCAAGTCTACTTTTATAAGCTCCCACTAGGAGCATAAATGTTAGCACTAGTTCACTCAAGACTCCTTCCTCATATGTGTAACGTAGCGAAAACAACAGTAACCATAGAAATTAGGCTGACACAAAGTGTGCACTAAATCTTTCGTTAGCTTCTGAGGTTTAACAGTCCGAAATGCAATGATGTTAAGGTTTCATGCGCTAAAACTTGCGTACTATTGTTCATTGGCCATATCATCCAGTTTAACTGAATTCATAGCGAAATTTTCGCAAGGGTACTTTTGTTTGTAGCACGAGACGCGCATTTAGAGATGCGGATTTTCAACCAGCCGACTGTGCGAAATTGGGACGACACTTACCGAGCTCTACCGTAAATGCGTTGTTCTGGGAGGAGCTAGAGCTGGGACGTTTTGAGCTATCCAGGTCTTCATCTCTGTCCATTTCCAGGAAGCGTTCACGCTTTGTTTGTTTGTTAGTTGCTTGTAAGCACTGGCACATACCCACTCAGAGGGCTTGGCCATGAGAGCTTGTAGTAGCCTGTATGTGCTACACTGATTGAGAGACTATTATGAAACAACAAAAAAGAATAGCAAATTATCTTTCAAAAATAAAATAATAATAGACTAAAGATGAATTATTAAGAGAAAAAGAGAGCCAAAACTATATCAGAAAAGAGAAATTTTGAGTAGACCAGACAGTTCAGTTTACCTCATCCTATCGAAATTGAATGAATGTGGGAATTTTTTTCACGTTATCGATCATATCACGAGAATTCGTCAAGAATATATTTAAACAGGCGTTAAATTGACATGCGTTTAGATTCTTGAATAAAATTGGATACGCATGAAATACGTTTTTGTGGCAATGTCCCAAGCCGGAGGCGCCGAAAGTGAGAACATTATCTGCAGTCAAATTTACACCATTTATAGAAAGCGAAACAGCTAGAAGTATTTCCTAATTAATAAGTAGTTTCTACATGATATAAACTAATGTTCTATTGTTCCCGTTTCTTTGCAAAGTGGGCACAGGGAAAATATCGCCAGACCAGCTCTGTGTAAATAAAAGTTTAATGGAGGAACACGACAGGAAAGTTTGGTCAAAATAAGTTCTAACTTCCTAAATTGACGCCGCTGAAGTTTTGCAGGGATATCTCATGTGCTGACAGTCATTTCATTGAGTAATATTTTCTATATTATTCGTATAAATAGCTAATTTTGTATATCTCATCGACACTATGTATTCTCTTTCTGGGAGTACCAAGATCAGAGAATCATCAAGCGAAGCTTGGGCCAATGAATCGGCCATTTCATTCAATTGTATGCCACAGTGCCCTGGGACCCATACTAACTTAAGGAGCTTCGGTTAGCTTGGAACTAATGTGCGCAATGTCACTAGGGCTCTTGATTGTTCTGAAGCTGTGAGAGGAGTACACACCAAAGATAATCTGTAATGATGATTGCACTGTCTTTGTTTGAAGACAGTTTTCGAGGCGCCAAAATAATAGCCAAGAGCTCAGCTTCGAAAGCCGGAGTGAATTCTGCCAGTCTTACTGAGAGTGACCAACCGAGGTAATCAGAGAAAATGCCTACTGCTGCTTTTTCATGATTCATAGAAGCTTCTAGGGCTATTATGTTCTTTATTTCTGCATGAACTACGTAATCTTCTAACTCGTTATTCAGGAAACTTGAATATTGAAAGTTAGATTGTGGGGGACGTTTTTTATCATACTCTTTCGTAATATTGTGATTTATTGCTTTAGTTTCAAAACCGATCTGATGTACACCTTCAGGCTTCCCAGTTTCTTTTGCACAAAAAATAATCTAGAGAGTACTAAAGCGTGGCCAATGAGTGAGGAAAAAGGCGTGGGGGTCACTAATAAAAGCATATTAAGGTCGTTTGGCCGATAAACTGTAAAATTTCAAGAATGTTTGTACAGTTAGGATACGGAATCGGTAAAGACTAGTTGGTATGCCAGCTTCCTGATACATTACAATAATAGCGACGTACTTGGGGAGTCTCAAACACAACTGTATAGAGCTTCTTTCTCCAACACAACTAAATATTTTATTTTGTACGCAGGGTCAACGGAAAATAATATGCACCCAAGTTCTAGTATTGGGCGCATGTACTCTTTGTATATCAATAATAAGGTGGGTCTACGTAACCCATATTTCGTGTTACTCAACCTCCGCAATAAGCCTGAACGTTGTTTGCCACGATATATACTATGTGATGGCTCCAGTTAAGTTTTTCATTATAAATAACTTAAATATTTAAATAAATATTTGATATACTCCACTTGTGAAATTGGTTCCTGCTTATGTAGTACAGAAATCTTAATAGAATCTGCTGGTGTAAACATCGATAGAACCTTCACTGATGTTTAAAGACAATTGAATTGGCTGCAAGCAAAGCTTGAGGAAATACATATATCTCTGCAATTTTCGACGCGAAGAATAAATGTCACTGTATGCCGCGACAATCGCGAGATTGTGTGCATAAATGTACACAATGATATCTCGTTCACTAGCAACAGAGCTCATCAGAAAATTGAATATTAGCGTAGATAGAACAGCCCCTTGAGGAACTCCACGTTGCTGTTTGAATTCATATGAGCGGCATCCATCCTTTACACAATAAAATTTCCTTGATTTTAAAAACTCTACTACCCACTCAACAACATATCGCGGAAAGTTTAGGTCCTCTAACGCATTCAATAGAACTGAGTTCTCGACGCTGTCATAATCTTTAGCAATGCTTATTGCTCACCGCATAGTATCGTCTTTTTCGGGCAAGCTGTATTCGGCTCTCAAAACCAGCATGAGCCGACCAAATTGAACACTCGCTACGAAAAACAATTTGGTTTGGCTTCAGTATTTGCTTCTCTCTCGGACTGTTTTTTTTTTTAGGCATCAGCAGATACGACGAATACGATCTATTGAAGTAAGCGTCAATCGCTGTAGACAAGACTTTTGTCTTCTGTTGAATGACCACAAGCTATAGCGGTGCTCGGTTCTTGTTCTTTTTCACTATTAACTATGGCGCGCACCCACTTTGGGGGGCTGACGAAGAATTAATGGTTTTATAAATAGTATGACTGAGGTTTTTTTTTCAATACAAGGCTTGTATCCACTCGGGGCCATTGGCCAAGTGTTCGAAGTTGAGAATAGTTAATTTTCTTCCTCGCGACTAGCTTCTACACTATCTAAGGAGAAACGATGTTTGAGGTTTCGAATGGGTGCCCTTCGATGACTCGAATTCTCGGCGGCAGTGCGAAGGAAGAGCCGTAGTCCAGTGAAGAGACACTTTATTGCAGCCTCAGGCGTCTGCCCGAGTCCAAGCCTGATCTTTCGCTTCTTATTTCACATTCAAACATCCTCTTTTAACCATCGGTTGAACAACGGGTCTCGACACAAGCCAATCACACGTTGGGGCTCGCATCATCACAACCAATGGCAGAAACACTTTCATAGCAGGCACTGCATTGGTGAAAACCACTTTACCAAATACGGTGGTGGTAGTGGTTAAAAGAAGAGAAAAGCACCTATTTCTGCAGCCTGGTCGGGAGCACGGCACAGTGCCTTTACCAAATACGGCACGCGAAAGGACAGGCTTTCCGCGTGTCACACTCTCTTGCACGCCAGGCAGTGCATCAGACGACCTTCGTGCCATTCTCACGCTCGAGCTCCATCAGCTCCTCAATAAACGTCGCTTCGTAGAAGCCTCCTTCAGCGCGGAGAGTACCCCGTCTGTCCCCGTGCGTTGACCTGGTGTGCACGCGACAGCGAGGTGCTCCGCCATCCTAACAACTTAGGAATGCAGCAGTTTAGGCTAGTCGGTATGACAGAACGACGACAAAGAGACATAACTTTCTTGTCTCTTTGTCGTTGTTCAGTTTTCGCGCTCTATAACTATCGTCTCGATGATAACTCCGGTGCGTTCATCCCTGTGCTTATACAGCGTCACTGTTTCCTTCAAAATGGGCACACAGTTGCACTCAGTGCAGTGCTGAGCAAGAAAACCATCTTTCCCGGTTATAACATTGTTAGCGTGTTCTCTCCGTCGATCGTTCAGACACCTTTTTGTCGTTCTGACATAACAAGCACCGCAGAAAAGGGCGATCTTATAGGCAACTTCCCGGGAGCATGCCACATACCTGTTTCTACGCTTAACTCTACATTCAGTTGATGAATGCGTTTCAGGGGGTTTATAGATTTGGTGAGACTGATTAATTTGAACGGTGCAGAGAACAGCACACGGACACCCGCACGTTTTCCGATTTACTTGAGCCTGTGTGATATCTGGTGTTTGTACGGGACAACGGCTATCCTTTCACGCTCTGTATCCGTGTTGATCGGACCTTGTCCCTGCCCCTGCTCTGTCCTGTTTGTCCGCAGGATAGTCTCAGCAACAGAAGCGATAAACGCCTCAGGAAAACCCGAAGCCATAAGCCGGGACACTTGCGCTTTGAAGCTCGCACAGATGCTGTGAACGCACAACCTGTTCAAGGCATTCTCAAGAGAGGTCCGTGCTATGCCTCGCTTTACTAACTTGCTGTGAGCAGAAGAAAAAGAAAGTACAAGTTTCTACGCACGTGGTTCCAAACACCAACAAGTATGCTGTGTGCTAAAAAAGCACTCGTGTCCTTCTTGTCTCTTTGTCGTCGTTCGGTTCTCGCGCTATAACTATCGTCATCCTAACTATACTCGGTGATGACGTGTAGCGGGGGAGGAGAGGCTCGTCTCCGAGTGGCAACCGTGTCTTGGTCAGCCCAGAGCCGTGTATTCTCTTTTATAGGGCTCTGGGTCAGCCCAGTGGTCGCGTCCCGGCGACATTCTCAATGGCACACGTGCATGCCGACAATGACTGAAACTCGGACGGTGGCGCTTGGCCTGCTTCTTGCAAGACACTCTTCCGTGTAAGCTTACCCCTTCGAGAAAGTCCCGAATGGGGGCGACCTTGACGGCTCTCCTCGTGAGCCGTGTGAACGAAGGAGTCTCCTTCTTTCTCGTGCACGCGTCTTCCGCGTTGGCCTTCGCGGAACCGATCAGCTTCCTTAGTTGATGGTCGGGAACTGGCTCCACGTTCTGCATCAACCACATTAATTTCCACTATGCACAACACGCCACTAATGGTTGCCTCATACTAAATAGAATTTTTAAAATTCAAGTCCCAGCTGTCCTTTTGTTTTCTTCATCATAAGAATGACACCTGATAGAAAAAGTAAGAGATTATAGGTAATGTGGACGAATAATTGCACGAGGTTCAAACTTGTATACGTTACAAAAAATAAGTAACCATTTAAAACGTCAATTATTCTCTTTGAAGTTGTAAATGAATACAGTGGTCAAAATTGATCAGTTGCAGAAATGTAATTACTTCAAAATAACTTTCCTTTAAAATGTTATCGTCATAAGTTCATAACACAGTAAAAGAGTTCA